GTTTTAAAGGCTTTTAAATATTTTCTAGTTTTGGTAAAAATTCTTTGGGTATGACTTGGATGTATTTTTTTGTATTCATCTTTTATAATTTGTATGGGAGCGCGGGGTGGGGATCGCGCTGCGCGCCGCGGGTCACGTCTCGGCCGGGCGGTCGGCCGGGGTCGCCGGCGTCCAGGGAGCGCCTGGGGCAGGGAGCCATGTGTCACGGCGGAGTCGGCGGCGCCGGGGGGCGGGGAGAGCCCGTGGCCCGGCGTCGCCGCAGCCCCGGTGTCCAGGGGCGAGGTTGTGGTGCTGCAGCTTTGTGGGGGCTCCGACCGCGGCTGCGGGTTGCTGGGAGCCGGTGACGGTCGTCTAGGCCTGGGCCGCCGTGGGTTCCGTGGAAGGAAGTTGTAGGACATTTGAAGGCGCAGAGCACGTGTTTGCAATGGGCTGCTAGCGGCTGCATTGGTGAGGCCGCCGCTCCGGGTGCGGAGTCGGGGGCGGGCTTTGGGGTGTGGGGTGAAGGGTGGAGAAATTGGGTGGTGGGTAGGTGGCTTGTGTGAGCGCTTTGTTCTTCGCTGGCTGTTGTTACTGATCTATAAGCGGCAGGCGGGAAAAGCGCACTTTGGGGTTTACCTTGGAGAGGGACGAGCCCAGCTTTGCTTTATCGCGCACACCTTCTTCGTGCGGGAACAGCTGCATGTGGCGCTCTGGCTGGTCCTCTCACTGTTTGGGCTTCATTTGCCATCCGGTTTTTCCTAGGGAGTGATAGCAAGTGAGTTAGGGGTGGCGCTCAGGGAGAGAATTGAGAATTGGTTCTTCTGTGCTCTGCTCCAAATCTGGCATGTCAGGAGATTGGTGACTTGAAGGTTTCTTTCAAGGGAGGTGCAGGCTTGCTGGTGTAGTAAGTGGTAGAGAAAGTAAAGATCGGGGCTCTTATATTGTCCTCTGTTCTTTTTGAAGATCCTAGTTTAATTTTGCTTATTGCGTTTGAACAGATCTCTGGAAACATGGCTACAGAACATGTTAATGGAAATGGTACTGAAGAGCCCATGGATACTACTTCTGCAGTTATCCATTCAGAAAATTTTCAGACATTGCTTGATGCTGGTTTACCACAGAAAGTTGCTGAAAAACTAGATGAAATTTACGTTGCAGGTAAGAACTAACACTTGCAAAATTATATTATGAAATTTCTCTATTGGATTTCTGGCTTTGAGCTAAAATAGCAACTTTTTGTGGTTTCCAAATAAGTGTGGGAACTGGAGCTTTGCCTTGTTCTGATAGTTGATTTGGGCTTGAACTAGAGGTTAAGGTGCCGAAAGGGAGGGAAGAAGAGAGGGATAGACCCTTCTTGAGGAAAGGCTTGCTGCCTGTTGGATAAGTATGTGCTAGTCATAACAGCTGCTAATTGTTGGGAACAGACCATGTGACTCTTGGGTATTTTTATAGTAGGATTCTTGTTAAATAACTTGGTAGCTGTAGATGTGTTTTCTGTCTTGTGTGGCAGTTCTTTTTTTTAGCGGTACTTGGAGTTACATACAGGTTCAGTTGTTATGTTTGGTACTTTGTTGGTTGTCTTTAGGATTGGTAAGTTTACATTTACTGTAGAAATATTGTAATGTTTAGAACTCATAACTTGATGTAAAATTGGTTCGTTTTGTAAGTGGTGGAGAGGCTTTTTCAGCAGGCTCACGTATGTGTTTTTCACTATGTAGATACAGGGATAGGATTGTTACACATGTATACTTGTAGTGGCATAAGGGTTTTGAGGGGGGAAAAAAAGAACTTTACCAAAAATGTTAGAAGTTGATAATTGTTTTCTTTTCTCCAGGGCTAGTTGCACATAGTGATTTAGATGAAAGAGCTATCGAAGCTTTAAAAGAGTTCAATGAAGACGGCGCCTTGGCAGTTCTTCAACAGTTTAAAGACAGTGATCTCTCTCATGTTCAGGTAATGTTAATTTAACATCAGTATAGAAAGAATGAACAAATTTTGAGTATTTTTCATACACATTTAAATTTTGTTAGATGGAAATATGAACATTTTAAAATATGAATGGAAAATTTCTTTTCAGAACAAAAGTGCCTTTTTATGTGGAGTCATGAAGACTTACAGGCAGAGAGAAAAACAGGGGACCAAAGTAGCAGACTCTAGTAAAGGACCAGATGAGACAAAAATTAAGGTATGTCTTTGAAAAGTCTTGTTTTAAAGGCTTTTAAATATTTTCTAGTTTTGGTAAAAATTCTTTGGGTATGACTTGGATGTATTTTTTTGTATTCATCTTTTATAATTTGTATTTTAAAAAATATTTTACCATTTTTATTTATTTATTTTGGGAGAACTGGGGATTTGAACTCAATCCCTTTATTCTACTGAGCTATCTCTCTGGCTCCTATTTTTAAATGATCCATCTAATGATTAAATCTGAGCTTCATTTTTATAGACAGGGTCTCCCTGTAAATTCAGGCTGGCCTCAGATTTGCAGCAGTTTTCCTACCTCAGCTTCTTGAGTGCTGGGATTACAGGTATCCACTGACAATGCCTGGGTTCTAAATTTGTGCAACTTCAGGTTACTAACAGTCATACCAAAGTAAGAGGGAAAAAAAAAAAAACAAAGTAAGAGGGAACCAGTTCACCTTATGCTGGGCAGTGTATACTTACCAGTTAGCAGTTGACTGCTTCTTTTAGGAGGCTTAATCATAGTGGATTTAGAATTCTGATACAAACTTTTCCATTAATGTGGCTTGAGGCTATATTGCTTATTTTATATGTATTTTTAAAATCAAGACAGGGTTTCCTGGGCAGTTCAGGTTCCCTTGAACTCCCCGTCTAACCCAGGCTGGCCTAGAACTCCTGAGGAATCTTTCTGTGTCAGCGTCCCAAGCTTCTTGTCCTCAGTTTGTAACTAGGATTACAAGCATGCACCACCATGCCTCTTTGTGGTACCAGGTATTGAACTCAGGACCTTGCGCTTGCCAGGCAAGTGCTTATTCTACTGAGCCATCTCCCCAGCCCCATGCCTCTTTTATTAAATTGTAAAAGCAGCTTTTAAGGATAAAGTTGTAAAGTTGTAAATTAGGAAACAAGTTGAGAGTGAAAGGCTCATAAGTTGTATGGAAATTGGTTTGTGTGGAGTTGAGTTAGGTTTTTATCTTCGTTTATTAAAAATATGTTCATGTTTGTTTCTAGCTTGGTGTTCATAGCATAAACACCAAGGATTATAATTTAAGAAAATGAGTTGTATTGATTGAAAAAGCAAGTGAGTTATTAAGGGCATGGAGGCTAGGGGTGTTGGTACGTGCCTTTAATTCCAGCCTGTAGAGGCTGAGGCAGGAGGGATAGCCTCAAGTTGAAGGCTAGCTGTATGAGTGAGTTCAGAGTTACTGTCTCATACAACGAAACAGAGAACATAGATGTTGGCTAGTATTTTTATGTTAAGGAGAGAAGGAAGCATGGGCTATGAAGGTAACTTTAACTGTTCATCTTGAATTTGAGGTTGTGAATGAATTGAATTTGAACTATGTGAATTTTTCCATTAAAAATAGGGTTTAGTTGTGACATCGTAATGAAGCATACATTGGGGAGTTGAGTTTAAACTTTATGAAAGTTAGTTTTGATGATTTTCAATTCAGCCTTTGGGAGGAGGTTGCTTAAACCTTTAACAGGGCTTAAGTGTGACCAAAAAGTAAAATATTTTTATGGGATGTTTGGCAGGGATAATAGATCTGTTTTTGTTTTGGGTTTTTTGGAGACAGAATCTTGCTACAAAGTTCAGGCTGGCTTTGAACTCACTACGTACACCAGAGTGGCCCCTAACTCAGTGATCCTCCTGATTCAGCCTGCCAAGTGCTTGGATTCTAGGCATGTGTCACTGTGCCCAGCCTTGTTTCTTTTAATAGATTGAGAAAAGATATTACTAGCGTCATGTGAAGATTAAGGTAAAAAAGAAGTAACTCCTTTTATAGCAAAGTGATTACACATATGAAAAAAGGGAAAAGGAACAATTTGATGATTTATGTCATAATCATGTATATATTTATATAATATATGTGTGTATACATATTAGTGTGTTTTTTTTTGGAGCCAGGGTCTTGCTATGTGGCCTAGGCTGGCCTTGAACTCACTGTGTAGCCCAGGCTGGCCACCAGCTCACAATAGTGCTCCTGCCTTAACCTCCCATGTGCTTGGTATTAACAGGTGTGCACCACCCTCCTCTGCATAGATTCTTATAGTTGTAGATTGGAGTTTTAGTTTTCTTCTCATGTTGATGCACCATTAAGCAATCATTTGGGTGTTACAGAAAAAAAGTTAGACTACAAGCTTTTTGTGAACCCTTTAATTGCAAAGAAGCTCTTTTGTTTTTTATAAATTATTTTCTTAAAAAAAATTCTGGCACTAGGGATTAAATTTAGGGCATCAGGCATGCCAGTGATAGGTAATATCCCCAGGGTGGCAATTTTGTTAATGTTCTTACTTTTGGAGACTTGAGGTGACTTGACCCCATGTCATTTAACCCATTTTAGTAAGCTTTGTTATGAGAGTTAGGTCTTTCTGTTTCAGAATTAGCCAGCTAATAGATTTTTGTTATTTAGAAAAGGTAGTTTTGTGGTGCAGATGGGAAGTCTTGACTTTAAAGCTTGATGAGCTGCTTTTTAGCACCTATGTATACAAGGGATGATGAGAAACTCCTAACCCTGAGTTCAGTAAGTTTCCTGAATTTTAGCTGTTCATTTTCAGTGAGAAAACATGTAGAAATTATAGTATCGTGTTAAAATTTCATTGTTTGTAATTTTTGACATTTTTTGAATGATCCATGCTGTTTGTGGAAAAAAAATTTAAAATCACATAGAGGTTTTTTTCCTTTATCTTCTAAATTTCTAGACTTCATAGGGAAGGGTAATACCTTCAGAGGTGAGCAAAATGCCTAGAATTGGCAGTGTGTGCCCACAAGTTAAGAGTATGGGGAATTTGCTGGGTAAAAATTTGGAGTCAGAAGATACTTGACCGAATTAGGTACATTTTTTTTTTAAGGTGGGATTAGCAGTGTTGGAAACATCTTGTCCTGAGTAATTGAAGACTAGAAGGTACTTTGCTTAGCATTTGAAATTTTAACAAGCCTGGGGTGTATAAAATGTACTTTTTTTTTTTTTTTTTTCCGGTACTGGGGATTGAACTCAGGACCCTGCGCTTGCCAGGCAGGCACTTAGTCTACTGAGCTATCTCTATATACTTACTAATGGGGAAACTGAAAAACAGACCCAGAAACTGCTCTATGGAGGAATGATGCTAAAATTATTAGAAGGATGAACAAGGTTAATTTTTAACTGCTGAATGTATAGGTGTGATCTTGTGAATAAAATGTGTTAATCTATTTGAACTTTTCAAGGCACTCTTGGAAAGAACAGGCTACACACTTGATGTGACCACTGGGCAGAGGAAGTATGGGGGACCACCTCCAGATTCCGTTTATTCAGGTCAGCAGCCTTCTGTTGGCACTGAGGTAAAGAAACTAAACTTGTACCTTTTGTAATGAAAGCTCAGGTGTCTGGCTTCCGAAAGACTTCTTCATGGTTTTTACTTTGCATTTAATTTGCAGATATTTGTGGGGAAGATCCCAAGAGATCTATTTGAAGATGAGCTTGTTCCATTATTTGAAAAAGCTGGACCTATATGGGATCTTCGTCTAATGATGGATCCACTCACTGGTCTCAATAGAGGTTATGCGTTTGTCACTTTTTGTACAAAAGAAGCAGCACAGGAGGCTGTTAAACTGGTAAGTTTATTTCCCCCTTCAGTGTTCATGTTAACTATCTTCAATGCTTGCTTTTTTCTTACTGTGCCATAGAGTTTACAAAACATTTTTTTTGAACTGTACATCTTTGACTTCCTCTGTATAAACATTTTTTGCATGGATGATTGATAAAAAGTAATGTGGTAGAATCCTACCTAGGTATGGTTTTTTAGACATCTAGTAGTACTTTTGTTTTTATGCTTCAATTTACAACACAAAAAGTTTATATCTCATTAGGGCCTCTCCATAGTTTCTGGCCATACTTGGATCATCCCTTTTCAAAAATACACAGACATTTGGATGGTAAATTTCTAGATTGATTCATAAAGCATTTTGTGTCAGTGGCAGTATTTGATTTAGAAATTCCATGTTAGGTGAGTGAAGACACAGTTGTCTTTAAAATTATTTGAAGTTATGGCTTACAATTTCACCTAAGTTCTGTGAGTCAAGACTTCTATAATAATAAATAAAGTTTAAGTGCCAGGGGTGAATTTAAACTAATGGATAGGCCAAGAAATAAATAGTACTAAGGAGAAAGTTTTATTTTTTCTTTTTTGGTACTGGGAATCGAACTCAGGACCTCACACTTGGCCAGGCAGGCACTGTGCCACTTAAGTTCTATCCCCAGCTGAGGAGCAAGTTTTGATAGTTCACTGTGGCAAATGTTTGTTAAATTTGCCTTAACTGGCTAGTAAATTTTGTGAGTAATTTTAAGCAGACAAAATCTTCAGACTGGTTTAACCTGGATTTTTTTTTTCCCCTTTCTATACCAGCAGATATGTGGGTTAAATATCTCTTATTTTAAATAGTTGCTATTATCAATAATACCAGATGTATTTTAGGGCATTTTGGATTTTAGGGATGTTTGCATAGGCTTTTAGCAATTGAGCATCCTTAATCGAAAAATCTGAAATGCTTGGAAATCTGAAACTTTTGGTGTGCTGGGGGTTGAGCCCAGAATCTCCACATTGTTGCATCTCTAGCCCTTTTCAAAAATTTGAATCAATATCTGGGTGAGTTTCTTTTCTTTTTTTTGTACTGGAGATTGAAATCTCCCTTGCACTTGCTGGGCAGGTACTTACACTGATGAGCTATCTCCCCGGCTGGGTGAATTTCTAAATTGCCTCCCCAATCAATATTTGGTATATAGGCATGCCCAGCAGTGTAGGCTGAAATTTGAAACTCTGCATCTTGTTTACTTTTCTTTTTTTTTGAGACAGGGTCTCTTATGTAGTTCAGGCTTGTTTTGAACTCACAATGTAGCCTAGGTGAACCTTAAATTCACATGATTCCCTTACCTCAACCTCCCTCCTTGGTGCTGGGATCACAGGTGTGCACTACCACACGGATCCCTGTTTGCATTTCTGATTTGCAGATTAGGGGTACCCAACCTGTATCACATTTTGAGAAGAAAAGTAAGTATACTTCATTTAGCTCTTCTACATTGCTTAATTTACTTCACCTAAATTGCTTTAATTGCCCTATACACACGGTTGAGTATACTGCAGGTTTAATACTAGAAAAATATGGTTTGTGAAAGAAGATAAGTCTCTTTAAAGAGAATTATTTAAGCAAGGCTTGATGGTGCATGCCTTTAATCCCAGGACTGGTAGGGCTGAGGCAGGATCACTGCAAGGCCAGCCTGGGCTATGAGGCCAGCCTGGGCTACGTAGGGAGACCCTGTGTATGTGGGGGGCATTAATCGAATAATTGCTGGGTATGGTGGGGCAAGTCTGTAATCCCAGCCACTTGGCAGGGTAAGGAAGGATTGCTTTGAGTTTGGAGTCAGCATCCTGTTTTTTTTTTTTTTAAGTTAAAATTATGGCTGATTACCCCTAAAGGAATATATATATATATATATATATATATATATATATATAATATTATTATTATTATTATTGTTTATTTTTTTTGTGGCCCTCTTCAGCCTGCCTTTGGAGCTGGTCTGGTGTAGCATGTGGTACTGGGGACCGAACCAAGTCCCTGCAGTTGTCTAAGCTTGCCTGAGCAGGTGCTTTAGACAGCTGAACTATTTCGCCAGCCCTAGTAAATTACTATTTAGAAGAGGCTGCAACTCTATAGGGAGTACATTCACTGGCAATCTGCTAACTTTTGAGCTGCCAAAAGTTTCAGCAGTTCAAATAAAAGATCCTTTTTGGAGCTCTAGAAATAGGTATTTCACAAATTATCAGATACATCTCACATAACTTTGCTGAGTAGTGGTAAGGTTGCTCTAGGTCTTGTTTTTGTGGTATGGAGAATTGAATTTAGGGCCTTCACACTTGAGGTACATCCCACCCCTTTGAGATTGAAACTCCCTAAGTAGCTAAATTACCCAAGGTGAATTTGAACTTTTATCTTTCTGTGTCAGCTCTTCATAGTGATGGGATTATGGGGAAGCTAATACCATTCCCTGATTTTTTTTTTTTTTTTTTTCCCTTTTCCTTTTCTGGGGTTATGGGAGGAGGGTTGAACAGAAGGGCCTTTGCATTGAGGGACATCCCCAGCCTGCTGGCCAGCTCTATCTCTAACTCTGTCTCTGTCTCTATTGTCTTTTTGAGACAGGGTCTTGCTATGCAGTTCAGGCTGGCCTTAAGCTCACTTTGTAGCCCAGGCTGGTCTCAAACTCAATGATCTTCCTGCCTCAGCCTCCTGAGTGCTGAGATTACAGGTATGCGCCACCATGCCCAGCTCTATAATTTTTAAGACACAAGTAGCAGTAAATTTTAATGTGAAATGCAGAATTAATTGAAGTGGCAGCAAACTCTTACTGTGAAAAGCTAATAAGGAATTTAGCCAGTGATGTCAGATCCACATAACATTAAATTAATATTTTAGGTTACTTCTTATGATTATGCCGTGGTAGGTTCTTACTAGAACTTGTGGATGATTTGTAAAAAACCTTGTATCAGTAGAGGAAAATTGTTGAAAATTCACAAATACGATATTGAAGAACACTCAAAATTGAAACTTTTTTGAGAGAACTTTGTGGTTCAGGCTAGCCTTGGATTATGTAGCCCACACTGGCCTTGAACTTGGTTTCTGCTTTAGCTTTTCAGCTGTTGGGATTATAGAAGTGTGCCACCATACCCAGTTAGAAATTTTTTTGTTTAGACAGTTGGCTTGGCTCAACTTATAAGCTATAATTAATTGCTGCATTGTATATATTGTTTTTAATATATACAGTGGTACCTCAGTTTACAAATCAATTTGTTTTATGACTTTGGTGGAAAATGGCTGTTTGTGTTTGTATGGTGAAGATGGCTGTGGCTGTATTTGTCACCTCATGTGGAGTTTGTGAACGGAGGCAAAATTTTGTAAATGCTTTTGAGGTCTAAATTGTTTGTGAACGAGGTATTCCCGTATTAATATAAATGTTAATACACATATTTCAGCTGTTAATACAGAAACATCCATAGTAAGCAAGAAGTCATTTTTGTCGTCTTTTTTTTTTTTTTTTGCGGAACCGGGGATTGAACTCTGGCCCTTGCGTTTGCCAGGGAAGTGCTTATTCCACTGAGCCATCTTCCTGGCCATAAGAAGTGTTTTTTAGTTGACCCAGGAACTAATTCTTTTTGAAAGCTCTTTTATCTTTCTGGATTTCTTTTTTGTGCAGTGAGTTCTTAGGAGAATAATTTTACTACATAGAAAGTAAAGGGCTTTATGGTCTGGTGTCTTTTAAAAGATCTTTTTGGTGGTATATATTCATTGGAGGGATTAGACTTTTTTTTTTAAAGAATTGTTTACAGTGGATTGTATTTGGGAAAATTTTCATGTTAATACAGCAGTGAAGGAGGATGATTTCTAGAGGAAGTGAAGTTATAAAACATTGTAGAGAACACAAACTGATTCAAATGGTTTTTGCTCTTTTTATATTTCTAGAGATGGATAACTACATCTATATATTCCATAGGGGAGTCTCAGATGTGTATTTATGTAGTTAAAGTTTCATTCTAGTTACATACAACTAAATATTGAGGAACTGTTTCTTACATTGTTTATATTTCAGAGATAATAGGACTTTTTAAGGGTGGAATCTTAATTTATTGAAGCATGTAACAAAAGTTTTAAGGATTTGGATCAGTGTTTAACCTGGGAATGAGAATTTGTCATGAATAGTGAGGACATTGAATCATTGTTATGGGGCTTTTTCATTGTATGATGCAGTTTCCTTCTGTTTGGCTAAGTTCTGTGTTTCTTTCTCTTATTTAACACCAAATCTCACTATAGTTCAAGCTGGTCTTGAACTCACTATGTAAGCCAAACTGGCCTAAACTTGTAAAGAATCTCTTGCTTTAGCCCTCCCCAAATGCACCCAGATGCTTGGCTTATGTATGTGTGCGCGTGTGCGCGCATCTGTGTTTGTATTTAGTGCAGGGTCTACAGGATCTCACGGTGTAGATCAGACTCTTAGTGAATCTCCCGTTTTCAGCTTCCCAAGCACTGGGATTACAGGCGTGTCACCATGCCCAGTCTCAATGGCTGTCTCAACATAACCCTGGGGGCTGGGCCAACAGGGCAGCCAGGGATCAAACCCTGGCTGCTGCACTCTGCCTAAGCAGGTGCTTTAGTCCACTATGTGGCTAGCCTGGTTTTTGGTATTTTGAGACAAAAGACTTGCTTTGTAGTTTAGGCTGACCATTGTGGTGATCTTCCTACATCAGTACTGGGACTATAACCTTATACCACCACACCAGTCAATTTTAGTTAGATTATTTCTCTAGTTTTGTGTGTGTCTTGTGTCTGTGTCCCTGTCCCCGTCCATGTCCCTGTCCATCCGTCTGTCAGTCTGTCTTTTTGGGAGACAGGATCTTGTTATGCAGTTCAGGCTGGCCTTGAGCTCACTTTGTAGCCCAGGCTTGTCTTGAAATCCCAGTGGGTGTTATAAGAGTGCACCACCATGCCTGGTTAGACTTTTTAGGTGACAATTTTACTTTGAATGTCTCATGGACTCAAAAGTAGCTGAAAGAGGAATTTAGACC